TTGTTATTTTTTTCTTTTATTATTATTATTATCATTCGAACACAAAAAAAAACCTTTTCCGTTTTTTTTTTTTTTTGAAAAGGTTTGAAAACCTTTTTTTCCTTTATTTTCCTTTTAAACTTTATTTAAACAAACCGAATACAAAAAATTTTGGTTTTTATTGTAAAAAAAAGTATTTATAACTATTTAAACGCGAATCGAGTTAATGATTCTCGAGGGTTTGTGCCTGTGTGCGTGTGTGCGTGCGTGCACGTGTCATTAAATTAAAAACTGTAGAAAAACTGGAACGAAAAACTAGAAAAAAAAAAATTGTTTTTTTATTATGTTTTTTGATAATAATGTTTTTCTGCTTTTTCTCTTTATCCCCTCCCCCTTCGCCCTCACCCTTCCACACCTCCCTTTTTTTTAAATGGAAAATATGTAATTAAACATTAATTACGTAATTGCTTACGTAATACATCCTAATAAAAAAAAAATTTATTACTTTTAACGCGGCGTCGGCGGCGGCGTTTTTTTTTTTTTTTTCATTATATTATTGTGGCGTGATAAAAAATTCTTCGGACGCGTTTGCTTTTTGTGATTACAATAAAAAAACATTCCAGCGACATTTTGTTTTTTTTTTGTTTTTTATCCGTTTTTAATTAATGTGACCACAAGATAATTTATTAAAAAAAATTTTTTTTTATAACATTTGCTAATTCCACGACGACTACTACGACTACGACAATTTTACATAAATTTGTTGTAGAAAAAAAATTTTATGTGATTTTTGTTTTTTTTATAAACGCGAGAGTTTAAATTTTTTTTTATCCAGATGATTTTATTTTTTTCTGGAGAAGAGAAAAAAAGGAAAAAATTTTTTAGGGTGAATTATTATTGTTAACGATGTTTTAATTTTGATTCCAGAAAAATGTGATAAAAATTCGTTGGAAAATTGTTTTAAAAATAAAAATTTTGAAATTAGAAATGAAAAGGTTGAAATATTACTCCGGGTAGGGGGGGGGTAATAAGAAAAGAGAGAGAGATAATGCGACGGAAAACGTGACTTATTATAAACAAATTCACACGTGAAAAATAAAAGAACCGTCGTATAAATGATAAAAATTTCTTTACTGGAGAAATCACGTGAATCATATATTTTTTTTGGAGAAAAAGAAAATTTTTTTTTCGCTTGTTTGTTTGTCTGGAAGAAATAAACGAATGAAACCCTTTGAAATAATAATAATAATAATAATAATAATAATAATAATAATAATAATAATAATAATAACAATATTTTTATTTATTACTAAAGATCACGGAATTATTTTTTTTTCAAGTATCAATTTTAGCGGATTCGTTACGAACGTTTTCCGTTTCATACAAACAATACGAAAATTTTCCAGTAACATACAAACAATTTCTCCAGGAATAAATTTTTCGAAAACGAATCATTTTATTCGATCAACATGTTGACGTCATGACGTAGCGATTAATATTTCCATAAAATGATTGATACGCTAAAATTTTAATCGAAGATGATAAAACATTCGAATCCGAAAAGTGATAACACATCGGGGGGGGGGGTACCTCTTATCACAAGTTTTGTAAAAAAAATACAATTCGATAGAAATAAATTTCAAAAAATTTATAATTAACATACTGGAGAAATAGTGCGAGACAATCTTCGCGTTTTTCAAAACAAACAACATGTAAAATTCCAGAATTGATTGCGCATCCTGAGAGTATAAAAAAAAAACCTGTAATTTTTTTTTTTTTTTGCTTAATATTTTCCACGAATCAAGCAAGTACTTTCAGGTTTAAAAAAAATGAAAAATAATAATAATGATGATGATGATGATAATGATAAAAAAAGAAAAAAGGGGGTGAAAAAGTGATTTTATTTTTATTAAAATAACAAAATAATGAAATTAACGAACGCTTTTCAATTTTATTAACACATTTTTTAATAAGATTAATTTTTTTTTAATTAATTAAAATCATTTCGACGTCGGCATAAACTAAGCGTAAAAAAAAAAAAAGGAAAATTTTTTTTTTCCTTTTCTTTTATGTATCCTTTTCTCTCTACCAAACGCTAAACATTTTCCGAAATTTCGCACGAACGCACGCATTTCTACGACATTTTTACAGAAAGGTGGATACGTTCGGTATAATTTTATGAACCTCTCAAATTAATACTTTAATTTAAATATTAAATTAAATTAATAATGAATTTCTCAAAAAATATTATTATAAATGAGATAAAAACCGTTCGGAATAAGGTCGATAATGATTGTCGGAAGTGGTGGTGGTGGTGTACTTTCGTAATCCAACTACTCGGAGGATAGGCACAATGGATGTTTAGGGGTGGGGATTCTGGAATTGGATTTCCCACATTGACTAGGCGTCCCCTGGGAGTAAACCCTCAACTTGGAAGCCTTGAGGGAATCCGAGGTAGCCAGGTTGAATCTGAAAAGGAGAAGTATTCCTCAGATGGAATTTCCACCCTCGCAAGTGTGTACCTGATGGTTCTCGGTGGGGAGGAATTGAGGCTGAAATGCACGTTAAAACTCCCGCGAATGCCCCCGAGCACGAAAATCGAACGAGTATTTGATAATTTAAACATAACGAATTTATTAAATAATTTTGACAAAATGAAAACCTTCGAAATAAAAACCGTAAGATTGTTACCAATGTGAGAAATTAAAAAATTTTGCAAGAAAAAAAAATGGCTGTCGTCGAGGGGAGGAGGGGGGCCTCCTAATCAGTTTAAAATTTTTTTTTTCTCCAGGATTAAAAACAAAACAATAAAGGATACAATTAGAAGAAAGAAAAAAAAAGGTTAATTTATTGATTTACAATTACGTTTTTTTTTTTTTTTACCTTTTGTGAATTTTCTTTTTGAAAGGTTTAATAATCGAAAGGAAATGAAGGGAGAAAAAAACAAAAGGATTCAAAGGTTCGAGAAAAAAAAAAAAAGAAAAAGGTTTTTTTCTTTATTAAAATAATAATACGTATACGAATTTTAAATGACGTATTTATCATCATTAACGATTTGAAAAAAAAAGGACGAAGTAAACGAACGAACTTTTTTTTTGTTATCCTTTTTTTTCCTTTGAATTTTTAATGTTGTCTCCTACGTACGCACACGTACACGCACACGCATATACAGTTAACAAATAGAAGATGAAATGTATAAAGGGTTACAAATCAAAAAGAAAAAGTGATAAATTTAGAAAAAAAGGTTCTTCCTTCCCCCCACGTGAAAAAAAACAGGTTGAAAAGCTTAAAAAGATTAAACAAAAAATCTTTTCCATTTTCCCTTTTTATCGTTTTCTTTTTTTACACAAATCATCATACCCTTAGAAATAATTTTCTAAATTATTTTTATTATCGTTCAGCACCGTATCTAGAATTGATATTTTTTTGATTCTCTCTTCTTCCCACCCTCTTCCCCCTCCTCCTTCACCCCCCCCTCTTCATCCTTCACCCACCGTAATTTAATTTATTTCACCGTTTAAGAAGAGAAGAAATAAAAATAAGTTTTCATCATTCATAACGAAATCATCAAAAAAAATCGATAATATCAATTTCATTTCAATTTGATTGATTATATGTATCGACGATGACGACAACGACGACTGCCAACTGTTAAAAAATTAAATTTTTTTTTTTAATTTTTTACGCAGGAGTGTGGAGAAAAAAAAAATTGAGGAAATGATAAAAATGAAGAAATTGAAAAAAGGAGTAAGGAAGAGAAAAATGAGAGAAAGAGAAGAGTGGGGGAAATTAAAAAAGAAAAACAAAAAAATTTATCTTCTTTCTCTCTCTCTCTTCCCTCCCTCTCCTCCCCTTCCAGTGACGTTAATTAATAAATAATAAAAATAAATTTATAAACAATAAATAACTCACATTTTTTGTTATTTTTGCCTCTTCCAGGATGACGTAAAAGGAACCGGAAACCGAGCGGTGGGGAGGAAAAAAAAATTCAAGTGGATTTTCTCTGGATTTTCCATGAATGTTGTTAATTAAAGAGTACGAAAGCAACAACAACAACAACAAACAAAGGTAAAAAAGGAAAACTATTTTATATGTGTCTCACGCCGTGGTAAGTTTATTATTATTATTATTATTAAACGTCATCACAATATCGAATCCGTGCGGGACACGTTCGGATTTAAATTTTTTGTTTTTCATCCTTTTTGGGTTTTCGTTTCGGGCCTTTTTTCTCCCCCCCCCATTTGAAACCCACGTTATCCTTTCAGCTCGAACGGGAAATTTCACCGTTCGGTTTTGTCATTTAGACATCACAAATATCCGATTGTTTTATAAACTTAATCCTTTGTCAATGAACGCGTTTGTTTGCGCGCGAATACGTTCAATCCTTTCGGGAGAGAAATAAATTTTTTTTTTTTTTGTATCCGTTAAAATATTACAAAAGAATCAAATGGAATAATAAAAAAGATGAAAAGTAAGTGGGGGGAAGGGAAAGAGAGGGGAAGAGTGGGGGGGAGGTGAGGGGAAGTGGAAGGCAAAGGGTAAGAGGGAGAGAACAAACTTTTTCGTTCTTGGGACTTATTTTTTGCAAATTTCCCTTCTCCCACGTTAACACGTCGTAATCATTATAACAGTAAATTTTGTTTGTTTGTTTGTTTTTTATTTCTCTTTCATTTTAACTTAACGAAAAAAAAAGAAAACAAACAAACAAACAAAACAAGAAAAAAATTTTTTTTTTCCCCCAACATTCGAAAAATTTTTTTAAACCCTCGAGGAAAAATTTCAAATTAAATATTTTAAAACTTTAAATTCTCCAGGGAACTGGAAAAAAAAAGAGAGAAAAAAAATTTTTTTTTTTTTTTTTTTAACGATTTATCGAGTCTATTTACACTTCAAACTATTTTCTCTCTCTCTCTCTTTTGTTTATTTATTTATAGTTTTAGAAGAGTATAATAAAAGTTTTTTTTTTTTTTAAAATTATTTATTTATATTGCGTTTGTTTAAAAAAAAAAAAAAAAACTTACTTGCGGTATCCTAAAGAGTCTTAATAAATTGGCAACTTGTATTGACGTAACACTAGACGCTGCTCCCCCGACTCCCGATATAACTTTTCGAACTTGTGTTTTATTACAATTATATTCTGCTCCATCTATGTTACTTATGGATCCTGGAAAAAAAAAAATTTAAAAAGTTTTGACGTGTTAGATCGAAAAAAAAAAAAGTTCTAGAACATTCTACGTAATTGTTTTCCGCCGTTAACATTAATTTAAAATCGTATTAAAAAATTCATAAGGAAAATAATCCGACGCATATTCGTTAATGCGGTTTTGTTTCTGTTTATATCATTTTCGTTTTTTTTATCGAATCGTTTCCGGTTTTGGACCGACTCCGCAAAAATAATGGAAGGGTTTGGTACGGAAGAGGAGAAGGGGAGGGGAAAGTAAAGTCACGTGAAATTTTCAAAAAAAAAAAAAAAATGAGAAGAAAAATTTTTTTTTTATAGAGGTTGGTACGATTTGATATTTTTTTTTTTTCATTTTTTTCTATTAACATTTGAGAAAATGGAAAAAAAAAATTTATCGTGGAAGGAGATTTGTTTTTTTTTTTAATCGCGTTTCAAAATTGAGTTTGAAAAATAAAATGAAATTTCATAACTCAACACACAAAAACATTACCACTAAAACTTTGTAGACTTGAAGTATTTTTTTTTATTTTATTTTGACGTGTCAAAAGAAAGATTAAACACACTAACACTTTTTTTTTTTTAATGTAGTTTTTTTCAATTCGTACGTTTTACAACTTTTTTTTTTTTTTTTCTTTAACCCTCGGATGATATTTTTTTTCCCTCTTTATCTTGGTTTTTTAATATTTTAAAATACAAATAATTGGAGAATTTAATTCTCCACGAAACTAGAAAAATTCTTCGTAATTCGTATTAATTGATTTCGATTTAAAATTCATTTCCTGGAAAAAATAATGGGGAGAGGGGGAAAAATGGCGAATTCATAAAACAAATAAAATCGCGAAATATCTAAACCCGATTAATAATCATTTAATCTAACATGAACTTGCTACCACAATCTAGCAAATTACAGTTTGTTTGTTTTTCCAGATGTTGTCGTCGTTCTTTTTTTTTTGTTATCTTTCAAAAATTTTTCTCCTCCCTTCCCCTTCCCTTCCCCTCTCCCATATTCAACCCTTCATAATTTTTTATCCATTTCGGAAAAAAAAAAAAAAATTTTTTTTGTGTTTACTCGCGTCGCAAAAAAAAAAAATCACACGCCATTTTGAATTTTTAATGACGTAATAAATAATAATAAATGTCGTGGCGTTAATAGAATCGTATCGCGTATCTGTCACGTTAACATTAACATAATAATAATAATAATAATAATTATATAAAATAATTAACCGACCGACCCGAAAAAATTTATTAATTTATTTATTTTTGTTATTTATTCAACGTGACATAATAATAAATTTATTAAGGTTATTTATGTTAATTTATTATTATTATTATTATTATTATTATTATTATTATTATTATAATTATTAAACAACTTTTAATTTGAAAGACGGAAACGAAACGATACAAAAAAAAGTTTTTGAATGCATTTCCGCCGAGGACAGACACGAAAGGAAACACGCGCGGAAATTTTTTTTTTTTTTTTTTGTTTAAAATTATCGTGCGTGTTCGAGAACATGAAAAAGTTTTAAAAAAAGAGAGAGAGAGATGAGAAAAAATAAAAACAGGAAACGGAAGAGAGCAAAAAAAAAAAGAAAAAAAAATTTTTTTTTTTTCTTATTAAAGTAAAAACAATTAAAAAGTTATTGTTCATTTTTTATCAATTTTTTATTTATTTGTTGATTTCAGTTAAACAAATAATTTAAAATTATTTAACTTATTTCCTGGAGAAAAACAAAAAAAAAAAAAAATTTTTCTTTTTTTGTTTTTCTCAAAATCCACCCTTAAAAAAAAATGGCGGGCTAAAAATTTCTTATCCTTTGTCTTAAACCTTTTATCATTCTTCTAAGAAAAAGGTTACGTAAGAATTTTTTTAATAATAATAATAATAATAAGGGATGCTTTTGTCTTGACGTCACCAATATCTCTCCGAACCCATCGCGGAAAAATCGAAACGAGAAAATTCAAATTGTTTCCACGAAACGTAAATCAGATATCGTAATGTGGAGAAGATGATAGGGATCAACTGGAGAATGACAAAGAAGGGAAAGAAAAAAAGGTTCATCATTCGAAGGTTCTGTATTTGATGGTAATTAGAGAAAAGAACAAAGAAATCAACAGAAACGTTATATAACAATAATAAATTATTATTATTATTATTTTTACGGTTTTTGTAAAAAGAACAATAATGAGAATGATATTCGTACAAATGGAAAAGTTTTTTAAAAAAAAAAACCTGGAAAAGTTTATCCACTAAGTTTTGTTTTTTAAATTTGTTATTGTTGTTGTTGTTGTTGTTGACGTATCCGTAACTGGGAAAAATAAAACCGTCGGTAAAATTAAAATTCAGGTAAAAAAAAAATACATAAAGTAATTAAATCTTTATCGATTCCAGCAGTCGAAAGAAAAAAAAAACAACAAACAACAATTATTTTTACTGGGGAACGGTTAACTTTTTTTTGCCCGTTAAAACCGATGCGAAAAATGTTAATTTATAATATTTATGAAAAAGTATCGGTTAAAATTATTATTAATATTATTATTATTATTATTTTCCAGGGATGGAATGAAAATTTAAATTCTAGAATTGATTCTTTAACGGATGCTGCGTCGTAAAAATGAAAAAAAAAATGTCGATTTCGTCTTAAAATTTCAATCTGTTTTTTTTTTTGTTTTTGAAAAAATGAAAATTCTGGAATTATTATCCAGATACTGATTCTTCCTGTCTGGAAATATTTTTATCCAGGTAATTAAAAAAAAATGAATGAATGAATGACCGAATGTTTATGAATAATAATTGTTTATTTAAATAAATATAAATATTTTATTGTTTGATTCCCTCTTCCTCTCATCCTTTCTCTCAACTTTCTTTCATTCCCTCTCTCTTACTTTCTTTCTCTCTCATTCTCTCACTCTCTCACACTCTCTTTTTCTTTTTTTTTCTCTTTCTTTCTGCCATTTATTCTTTCTCAACAACATTTACATTTTTCCCAAATTTTATTTACTACTACCGACACGACTTGAAAAAAAATTTACATTGACAGAAATTGGAAATTTCTAGAATCGAATTGGCAGAGAAGAAAATTCAAGATGTTTTTATGTTTGTCTACCTGAGGAAAAACGTTCGACAAACGAAAAACTTAACAAAAAAACGGTTAACTTTTTCAAAAAAAATTTTTTTTAAAAACACTTCTCGGAATAAGAGTAATGTGTTTAAAGTTCTAGAATTTTCTATAAACGAATAAAAAAAAAAGAGACAAACAAAAATAGTAAAAAGTGTCTGTCAACAAACAAACAAACAAACATATTCAAAACTTATAAAAACAATAAAATAAATGACAATATTTGTTCTCATCGTTTTGTTTTGGACCGAACGGTTAACCGAACCGTTTCCTGCTACGACGTTTGTTATTTATTTATTTTTTTCAAAAGTTTTTTTATTGATTTTATTTATTTCGATGTTTGTTGTCTCTTTCTCTCTCTCTCTCTTGTTAGTTTCTTCGTGTTTACGTTTTCCATATTGTTTTATTTACTTCATTATCTGGATGCGTTCCAGAGGTTTCAACGTTTCAACCACGTTCAGCAGGTTTGAGCAAGCGTTCACGATTTTTCACCTTTCAGCCACGATCTACTTTCGACCTAAACTTTTTACTATAACTCTTTTTCTCTCTTCGAACGTATCTATTTAAATTTTTCTTTATCGTTAAAAGCGAACGTCACCAACGTTTTCCCTTCGAACGCCTTTTCATGAATTTTTCTTTCTTCTTAAAAATATCAAATAAAAACATGAAACCAATCAACCTTTTATATATATATATTTTTTTTCCTCTCTCTCCTGTAATTCAAAATAAAATTCAATTCCGAATGAAAAATATTTCC